TTCCCCTTCACACTTAATGAAATAAGCTCCATGAAGTAAAGTGATTTGCCCAGTAAGTAAATAATAGGTCCAAAACTCTCATTGTTTGCCAACAAATGCAGTTCTTTTTGCACGACACAAAAAATCAACAAATTTTGTCAATACTGATTTTGTTTAGCTAATTAACAGAAAATTAAAAGGAAAATTCTCAAGGAAGAATCTGCAAGTAAACTTTGCTAAGTGACAATCTTATGAAATGAAGTCTTATGAAAACAAACACAAGTATTCTTTTTATCATGATTGCTAACTTTGTCATTTCACTGTGAGACAGATGTTTACTGAAAATAAACTGAAGCACCTCAGTTTCCACTGTTGAACAATAAAGATTTATAATATACTATCCTTTCTAGTGTTAAACCCCTAAAATTGATTTATCTATAAACAAATAAAGTCAGTGTTTGCTATGGTGCTATGTGCAATGAACAATGATTCCTGTTATGTTTGTGAATATGGTCATCTTGAGAAAGAAGTGTCTAGCCAAGGAGCCAGCCATGCAGACGGCACTGTCTCTCCTTCATTTCCCATGACCTGATTGGAAATCATGTGCTCTATTGCAGCTCAGTTTACTCATCAATCATATGTTGATGCCATAAGCCTGCCCTGAAAGATTTCATTTTAGGGAAGTGAAGTGTTAAAACCATCCTCTTGAAGACAACATGTATTTCGAAGACTTCTTACTGTTCCCAAATAATCGCATAATGAGTACTGTTGCAGAGTTCCCACCCACTCTCAGTAAGACATAAACAATCAAAACAATGATCGCTATCATGATTTGAAAAGCATTCCCATGCTAAATTGTTCCCCAAAAAATCCATTCTAAAATCATACGCTTCACAGTATTTACATTTATTATTATTAAATCTTCAGTACCTGAAAGATATAAATATGGATCAAATGGAAGAGAACAGGAACTAAAAGCAAACTATCACAGGTGCACATTAAGAAATTGAATTTTTCTGGTCTTCGGTCTCTCTGAAAGAAGTATTGGGGACAGTAATTCTGATATGGAACTGAGTTGAAATATTTCTTTCCTGGGAGAAATTCCTACGGAAAGGAGACAATTATTGGAGTCTTAATGGACATAGGGAGGCATGTTTATAACATTCTGAGATTCTCACAACAAGAGATATCCCAGTTGGGAAGCAGGCCATGGACATAGCAGGTGGGATTTTTGTTGAGAGATTGCGAAGGGAAAAGTATGAACTGAAACAAAAAGAACTCCTTGCGTATTTGGTGGCACAGTCTGGGGAATGACTGCTAATTTCTCATGGATTTCTTGACTGTTGGGATAAAGGATGTTACTTCCATTTATTTCTCATACTTCAA